TAAAATTGAAGTCACTAATCAAGGAAGCTTGTAACTAAGTTCTTGGGAAGCAATGAGACCTACATTCCTGTTATTGTTCAACTGTGTAATTATCTATGATCCACCCCATGAGATAAGCCAGAGTAACATGATCCCCTAACACGTCACTTTAACCTCTTTATTGCTTAAATTATAGGCAATAAAAGCATGTGATTTGCATACTTCCAATTTTACTCCTGTGATTATGTAGTAAGGTATTGTCTTCTTTTATTTCCTAGACACCAGCAGCAAATGATATTTACAAGATCCCTGTCTCCTTGCAGGTACACTTACAGCATGTTATCAGTCATAGGGACATCTTATACCATCTTGACATGGCTCAGTCAAACACTGTGGATGCCAGTTTACCCTCTGTGTGTTCTAGCCGAAGGTAAGAGCGATGTGTTGTGCTGCCAACTGACAAAAGCCATTGAGCTATGATATTTCATTAAATTTTTGATGACTGAATTGCTATTTTTGTGTAGTTCTTGACTCATGATTTTATCTTTCTGGCCTATTTCCCTTGCTGCAGAGAAGCAAAACATTGAGAAGCAAAGTTCAAGAGGGAAGTGGCTCTGCTCAATGCACAAAATATTGGTTAAGAAATTAGGGCATCTGAGTCCTGGTCCTTAACTTCCTTAACTATAAGTTTTGGGTGACTCATTTAACCTCTCTGATTCTGTTTACCCACCAAGACTTGCGCATGCAGAGGCATGCTGAGAGGCTATGGTTTGAGTTTAGTTATCTCTGGGGATTCTGTTTCTCACCATTTCCTATGCATCATACCTCTGCCAGTGACTATATAGCTACCTTCACATGAATGACCACTTTCAGAGGGAAGCCTCCGACTTTTCAACTAAATGAGTTGCCCAGTACAGCGTCATTATTATTTTAGAGTATCTCTCAGTTGCAACCAGACATTTATATGCTTCCTGGTTTCATGTGCCTTTCCCCACCTAGACTAGCTCCATGTGGATAGATGGGTATCTGCCCATTTCTTTGCTTCCTTCCATTGTCATATGCACCAGTATATGCCCAATACACATGAGACCAACTACGGGCTGTAATAATAAAGTAGGTTAATTGCACAACTTAAACGTAAATCTAAAGCTTAAATAACTAAAGTTATTTTTCAAAGAACTTAGGGATATGTGAAGAATAAATGCTTCCTTCAGTAGTGGGTTCGACAAGCTTCAGGGAGTTTTCTGGAAGTCCTGATTAAAGTTTTTAAATAACCAACAAAGCATGTTAAAGTAACTACAGGAAAACATCTAAGGAGATGTTGTCAATAACTAGTCTATAAGAGAAAACACGTTTCCTATCTCCTGATAGCCAAACAAACAAACAAACCAAATAGCTTAAGTTACAGTAAACCAGACAGAATTTTAAAATTTGATTTGTTTTCAAAAGGAATTTTTTAATTTGGGATAGACTATACTCAGAGAACCTAAAGAATAATTTTCTAAACACCATTAAAAAAATCCCTGATCACCGTTCTTTAAGAATGAAATCCCTCATCCACTAAAGATTTCCCAAGTGCATTTGTTTGCTTTGTCACATGAACATACTATGAAGAATATAAGAAGAATAAATGCTGGGAAGGACATGAAGTTTACACTAGGAGACATAAATTTCTGAGAACTGTACAGCAAGCTGACTGCAGCCAGTAATAATGTACCCCTGCAAAAGACCAAATTCTAATGTCTCACTACAAAAATATGTGAGGTAGTGAAAGCTAATTAGATTTCATCATTCCATATTTCATCATATATCAAAATGTCACCGTGCTCCAGAAATACATACCTTAATAAGCTAAAAATAAATTGTAAAAGAATCCTTTCCTAAAATATGGGATGAATAAGTGTGTAGGGAACATTTCTACTCTTGGAGTTTAAAATTCTATGCCTTTTCATTTGGAGGAAATGTTTTTATAGAGGTGTCACACAACTTCCACTCTTTAATAGACCCCTAAACTTATTCTCGCAATAATAGAACTAAGTACCTACAGAAGGGAATCTAGAAATATGTACGACACAATATTAACCATGATTAGTTCTAGGCAGTGGAATAGAGGTGGCTTTAGGTTTATCTTTGTGTGTTTCAAATGTTCCAGAGTACAGAAGTATGCAGTGAAGAAAACCTACTTAACCTGATAATTTTAACAACTTTTAATAAAGTAAATAACTCTGATTTAATTTTAAACTATAATTTTCATATCTAATAAATGTAAAGCATAAATGAAACTCATATAAATGACCCAAACAGTAACTTAAATGTTAAAATGCCATGACTTAGTTATAGCCCGCAATAATCTCAATGGCAAGTTTGGTGTCAGCTACAGGTCTGCCAATGTCACTGATACCCCAGCTCTGACTCTAAAAATAGTGTATCATACCTCTACCCACTCACCTTCTATGGCAGCAGCTTAGATAACCATAGCATACTGCCATTCTCCTGCATGAAATGTCGCCAAAACTCTACATTCAATACAGTTTCATAGATCCTGTTTGTATCTGACACCAGGCTACAGAATACAGACAACATTTCTCAGTGTTCCCCCAAATTTTTATTAAGTACTTCTGAGGATGGGGGAGGGTGAAGATATCCCAAAGCTGGTTAGGATGAGAGAATGTTGGGTGATACTAGTTTCTTCACTGCAGAACTTCTCAGAATCTCTACTCTGTTAGATAGGTGTTGTGCAACTCCAAGAGAAAAATGTATGCAGCACTTTCTGTATTTGCTTGTCACCCCTATTTATGGCAAAGGAGACAGATGTATTTTTGAGTTACTATTTTAGGAAGCACTATACAGTCTTTCTATGGAAGCACGAAATACGTGGATTCAATAGCATATATTCAATGGACAATAATTTACTGTCAGAATCCCGTGACAGTCTCAGCAACTTCATCACTTAGAAAGAAGATCCCCATATCAAGCTGCAGCTACAGCTACAGATAAGATTCTGCAGTCTCACAAAACTGTCATTGTCACATTCAAAATGCCCTTCATTATAGAGGTATATACATATGCACCTCTGTAACTAATAAAGGAAATCCTTATGATCCTTTTTCTTTAAACAGCATTTGCCATCCATCAATCACTGCCTTATTTTGAATCACTTGGCACTAACTCCACCACGTTACCCTTTGATATATCTACCTGTTTTCCATACATGCTGAAGCTGTATCTAATGATGCTCTTCATAGGTAAGTGGGTGGTTCACTTTGGCATTCTTGTGTGTTTTGGTTTATTCTGCTATCTACCTAAATAGACATGGGAGAAACCAGAGCAGAAACCCAACACAATGCTGTCTTGTAAGGCATGTGGAAATTATCATGGTTTTTGTAGGGCACCATGAAACCAAATATATCACTGTTCCACTATAATGCCAGGAACAGTTTCAGTAGCAGGAAATATGCCTGTAATATGCATAAAATATAGAAGTTTTGACCATGGGGACAGATATCTATAAACAAATGTCAAACAGAAGGACTAACAATTTCTGATTTTTCCCATTTATACATATTTGTTTCCTGTTAAGCTTTACATGCTAGCACTTCCTGGCAGACAAATGGGAGTAGGTAATAAAGGCTTAAAAAATTATAGAACAAAAATTTATATTTGGGTAAGATTCTAAGATAGCTGAATAGAAGCATCCAGTACTTTCTTCCTCCACAAATCAAAAAACAGAACAATAGGTGAATAGCAGCATTTTGAGGTAAGGAATCTGGAACCTCATGAGATTCAAACCTGGCCTAATAGTGTAGACACAAAATGTCTGAGTTCCTATCATGCCACCTTTACAGCTAGGGAAGGAGGAGTCTCTTTCTGCTGGGTAATTGTTGAACATGGGGAGCTACCCTCAAGAATCAGGGGATTGGAGCGCTTGCCCTCTGAAACCAGGGTATGGCCAGTGCTGTATAGAATCATAGCAGTGCCAGGATCTACCCTTCCGCCCCACAGATTCAAGCATGGATTCCTGTCTAACAGGGAAAGAAAAGGATTCTGTGGGTCTGTTGCTTCTCTGCTCACAGGGGTGAATTACAGCAGCCTTGAGCACTGCTGAGGCTTCAGCTATGACTCCTGTCTACAGAACACATGGCCCAAGGAGGTCCAGGAAAGAAGCTTTACCATGTGCTGGCAACACCCTGTTTTCCCTCGTGCCCCCAGGCAAACAATAGGCCATTAGGAAGTCAGTTGGAAAACTTAAAAAATTCTTGAAGCCAATGGAAATACAGTATCAGCAAACGTGTAGGATATATAAAAAACAATACCCAAAGCATGAATACCTACATAAAAAAGCAGAAATCATTCAAATAAACAACAATGATGCAAGGACTAAGTAAGGCAAGAATAAACCAAACCAAAATTACTATAAGGAAATAAATAAACATCAAAACAAAATAAAAGTACCAAGGATCAATGAAATAAAGTTATTTCTTTGAAAGAATAAACAAAATGAATAAACCTCTTAGATTAACCCAGAAATATAGAAGATCCAAAGAAATAGTTAGAAATGTTAGAGGACACATTACAATTCATGGCACAGAAATACAAAGGATCATTAGGAATCACTTTGAAAAACTACATGCTACAAATTGGAAAAATACAACCAAGAGGATATAGAAGAACCTGAATAGGCAGTGAGACTGAACTGGTAAAAAGTCACCCAATGAAAAAAAGCCAGGACATGATGTCTTCACTGAAGATTTTTTTCTGAGCTTTTAAAGAATGACCAATATCAATTCTTCACAAATTATTACATAGAGTTGAAATGGAAGGAACTCTTCTAAACTCACTTACTAGGAAAGTATTACCATTACCAAAACTTCATATGAAAACAAAAGGGAACTATAGACCAATAGTCTTGATGAACACAGATGCAGAAATATTCAACAAAATACAATATAAAATGAAATTCAACATCCTATCAAAAAGATCATACACTGTTGTCAGGTAGGCTTTTATCCCAAGATGCAAGAGTGCAAATCAATAAACATGCTATTAACATTAAAAGAACCACAGAAATAAATGTAGAAAATAATTTGATAAAATTCAATACCCATTCATGATAAAATCCAATAATTAATTATGTATGAAGGATCCGATACCAACATAATAAAGGTTACATATTTCAAACACAAAATCAATATCAAACTGAATGTTGAAAAACAGCAAGCATTTCCTCTAACATCAGGAATAAGACAAGGCTGTTCACTCTCATTGCTCTTAATCAATATAATATTAGGTGTAGTCAGAGCATTTTGACAAGAGACAGAGATGAGAAGCACATAAATAGGAAAAAAGAAAGTTAAGATTATCCAGGGGAACAGACAGAGAATCCAGAAATTAATCCACACATTTGTAGCCATCTGATTCTTAACAACTGTGTCAAAAAGATACACTGGAGAACATACAGTGCTGGGAAAACTGGATGTGCATGTGAAGAAGACTCAAATTTGACCCTTCCCTCTCACCCTATACAAATCCAACTCAAACTATCAAATGACTTAATATAAGATCTGAAACTCTGAAACTATTACAGGAAAACAGGGGGAAACATTTCAAGATACTGTCACAAACAATAATTTACTGAACAAGATGCCAATAGCTCAGGAAACAAAAGCAAGGAATAATGGAATTACATCAAATTAGAAAGCTTTCACACAGTGAAGGAAATAATAGAATGAAGATAGTACAGTATACAGTGTGGGAGAAAATAGTTGCCAGCTATTCATCTGACACAGTTAATATTCAGACTATAAAAAGACCTCAAGAAATGTAGGGAGGGGATCTAAATACCATGAAACTATATTGTATGAAAATCAAAAAACTTCAATAAAAAGGGGCTGGAGGGATGGCTCAGTGGTTAAGAGCAATGACTATTCCTGCAGAGGACCCGGATTCAATTCCCAGCACCCACATGGTGGCTAATAACTGTCCATAACTCCAGTTGCAGGGGATCGGACACCCTCTTCTAACCTCCACTGACATTGCACACAACACGAGAGCACTTTTATATACATGCAGGTAATACATATACATAAAACAATAAATTGCTTTTAAAAATTCAATAAAAATTCTAAAGTAACAATATAAAAATACAATTAGAAAACGAACATATAACCTAAATAGACTTATCAAAGTAGACATACAAATGGGTCATTACTATGAAAAATGTTCCTTATCACTAGCCATCAGGGAAATGATGATCAATGAACTATCATTTAGTCCAGTCAGAATGGTTGTTATCAAACAACAACAACAAAAACAAATGCTAGTGAGGATATGTAGAAAAAGAAACTCAAACACTGTTTTTGAGAATGCAAATTAGTGCAGCCACTATGGCAACAGCATGGAAGTTCCTCAAAATAAAAACAGAACTACCATATCATCAGCTAACCCCACAAGTATACATAAAAAGGAAATGAAGTCAGCATACAAAATAATATCTGCATAGTCATGTTACTGTGACAATATTCATAATAGCTAAGACACTGTACCAGCCTAGGAGCCCATCAACATGGATGGATAAAGAAAACATATACACACAGGGCAGTATTGTTCATCCATAAAGCATAACCTCCTGTTATCTGTAGGAAAATGAATGGAAACAGAGGATATGTTAAGCAAAATAAGCCAGACAGAAACACAAAGTGAAAATTAAAAAATGGACATGAAAATTGAATTGTGATTATCTGGGGTTGGAAGGGTGATGGGGAAGAAGGGGGAGGGAGGCTGGATATAATCAATACACATCATATATGCAGGTAGAAACATCACATTGAATCCATTAATGTGTACAATTAATGTGTATTAATAATTAATAATAAAAATAAATGTATAGTCTAAGATTAAAGAGTAAAGCCATTAAAATAAATTAATTAAATGTAGAGTGTGGGCTAAAAAAATTACATTTGAAAAAAACTTTATCAACTAACTTAAGTGCTTTCCAAGAAACTGGGACAAGGGCTTCTATTACTAAGTTTAAGTTTTCCTGTCTCTAACCGTTACACATTCTTTGCATAATAATTATGTTTAGGAGATAACAAAGCTCAGGCATAAGAATACCACATACAAATTAATGAGAAAAGGAGAAATTTTAAAAGTAGTGAAGAAAACTACCTCAAAGCAAGGGGAAAAAATTCCCTGCATTAAGATAAGATGGATAGAACAGGGGGTTTGGCTTCCCTTTCTCAAAAATCTGGACATTTCTTCATTTTTTTCCTCTGAGCCTCCCTTGTTACTGTCTTGTCCCTGGAACTCAAGCAGCACTCACCTGTATCATAAAACCACGGGAAAAACTACAAGATATAGTGAACCAGTGTCCAGTCTACAAAAAAGAGGGTCAACACAGAGGAATCATTT